AAATCTAAAACAGAAAAATACTCCAGGCCAAGTATTTTCCAGCATAAGGTTTGAACTGTTTTAGTTATAGATATCTAAACACAGAGTCTAACTTTAGACTAACACAAAGTCGACATAAAATGCCCCCCTTTCTCTTGTTCCAGTGAGATTCCTGCAAGACCCAACTCAACATACCTTTCTTTACTCCACAGCAGAATCAGTAACATAGTGGCTTCTCCGGTTAAATTGTCTGCACAGTGACTGTAAGTTATAGTTTAGAATCCCTTCCTATGGAGTTGGTGGGAAATGGGTCAGAAGAGGTGGTCGAGGTCATGGGAGGGAGGAGGGAGGGAGAGGGAACTGAGATCCATATGTAAGAATATAAAATATTATTTAAAGAAAAAAAGAAATGGGTGTATCACCCTCCTTTCCTTTTTTCTGCTTTCCTTCACATGCCTGTGGTAAACATGCAGAAGATTTTCAATATATTCTTTTTGAATTAATACTTATGTATAACTACTTAACAAATCAACATCATTTTGTAGGACAATAGAACTTGTGTCTAATGACTTGCTACTGTTCCAGTGGCTAATGCAGAGTAAAAGTCACCCATCCTGTGAACCATTGAATTCATCCTGAGAATCACTGCTGTGTACTGGATAGAACCCACTCTCCCAGCTCACTCACATACTTTTTAACATTTTTTTTTCAAACTCAGGGCCTTGCACATGCTTGGGCATGCTAGGCAAACACTTAACACTGAGCTGTATCTCCATCCCAGAATCCCAGTTTTGGAACGAGACAGTAAAATTTTGGGAGCATGTGGATGTGTGTATTTTATGTGTGGGACATGGAGGCCAGAGATTGAGTTGGGCATGTCTTCTCTTATTCTCTACCATATTTTTAGAGACAGGGTATTTCACTAGTTTTAGAAGACTAGCTGACCAGTGTGCTCCAGAGACACGGCTGCTACTTCCTTCCCAGCTCTTTGCCTCCATGCCTCACTTTTAAGAGCTGGGGATCTGAACTCAGCTCCTCATCTTCACATAGAAAACACTTTAGAGACAGAGCTATCTTTCCAGCACGCAGGGTTCATTTCTATATACAACAGTTCTTGAAGTATGAAGCCTGACAAGGAATCTGAATTCAGTGGGCTTCATTTCTTTGATTTTTATAAAGAAGATAAATATGTGTAGTGGAAACAGGTAAAAATGATAACATCTTATGAAGCACAGTGTTTATGAAAAATCAAGTAGTCAATAACAAGAAGTTCTCATGAGTTTTTTAAAATATACTTATTTTTAATTCTCTGTGTGTAAGTGCAGTTGTCTGAAGAGGACATAAGAAGATGTCAGATCCCTTGGAACTGCAATTAAAAACATTTATGAGTTGTCTGATGTGGGTGCTGGGAACTGAACTGGAGTTCTATGAAAGAACAGTATGTACTCTTAACCGCTAAGCCATATCTCCAGTCCCAGGTCTTGTGAATCTTTCCAACTGATACATTTCAGTTTCAGTGTATTTGTCGCTACTACAGAATTTAGCATTCGATTATCCTGGCTAACTGTCTAGAGAGCTTGCTGCTTTTCTTTTCTTTTTGGCCACATTGCAATTCTCTCACATCATTATTAAGCACGGTCTACACAACCTCACTCAGTGCTGGCCAGACCTGAGTTTTAATTATTGACTTGGGATAGCTTCCTAACTTGAAAAAAGAGCACTGGATTTGATATCATGATATCAGAATGTTATTTATGGTAGGTAATAATTTCCCTTTTCTGGGCTTCCTTAACTCCATGTGTAAGAATAAGGAAGTATGCTTTTTTTTAAGTCTTTTTTAGTTCAAAGTGTACGTGCATATATTATTATGGTACTAGTTCTTTTCTGAAATGAGGAGTCGTGCATTGAGTAAATCTTTATAGCTAAATAGCAAATAGTAGAGCCTAGGTGAGATGACAAACAATCTTGCTTTGCTCATAACTCTCCCAGAAATCTCTGTGTTCCATGAATCCTCAGTCCTGGAAAAAATCCACATTTGGTCTTCATAGCTCTAGGGAATTTTGAATAATAAAAGACACTATTTTTCTTTTGTTTCTGTTTGAAGTCTTTTTTTAAAAGTAAATATTTAGTAGAAAAAATACTAGACAAATTCACATTAAAAATATTTACATATTGAGTTATTTGCTGTGGACTACCTTCTTTGTGCTAGTGTTAAGTTATGCTGTCAAGAGTAGAGATATTGGTGATTCTGTCCCTGTTCCTAGGCTAGGCAAGTATTGAATTAAGTAGGGAAGAGAAATGTAGGGCATACTCCTGGGGAAAGCTTTCCACAGATGTTATTGTGACAAAACACATTAGACTGTTCAGGAAAGTGACTGCTAGTGATTAATAGAGGACATGAACCTTAAGGCTGCTCAGAGTCTAGATTCAGTTTGTAGGTGGTTGGCAGAAAATTTTAGCTGTGATGTGTTTAAGTAATACACAGTTCCTAAATGCCCAAGTGTCATGGAAACCACTGGGGAATCTGAAAACGGAGTATGACATTAGTTTCTAAGGAAACTAAATTCTCCAAGACATGAAATAGGAAGTTTGGAGGGTGACAAGTGGGGAGGGGAAGGTCAAGGGAACCTGAGAAAAGAAAGTACTATTAAAGAGGGCCATGGAGTTTTTCTTTCTCAGTTTCTCCTCCTTTTTAGTGTTACCCCACCTACCTCCCTGCTCCCATAGTCTTGTTTGGCACTCACCACTGTACTCGGGGATTTGAGATGCTGTAGTGGAAAAGGCATAGGGGTTGGAGCTCAGAGGCCTGTACTGCCTACTAGCTGTATGACTTCCTAGCTATGTTGAGATTCTGCTTATTGTAAAATAAAGGCATACACAACTATGCTACTAGATTGTTCACAGAAGGAGTGAGATAATTAATCTGTGTGAGATGCCTTGGGTTCTTTTATTTGATCATCTGTCTATGTAAGAACATTTTCATTCATATGGCTTCAAAGAAATTCCAAGGTCGAAGTTGAGAACACAAAAGAAAGTTAAGACAGGCATGGATCACTACTTCACCTTTTACCCAGCAATCTAATCCTCCCCAACGTGTGTGTGTGTGTGTGTGTGTGTGTGTGTGTGTGTGTGTGCATAACATAAGTCAAGATATTAGGCCCTCTTAGGGCCACAAAGACATGGTTCTCTCATGGCCTTTTCTTTGTGTGCCATGCAGGCAGTATGGCTAGCAGGGTAGAGAAACTTGTAAATGGGGAAGAGATGACTCCTAAGTACATGTGTTAAAAGAGAATTCCTACCACTCTGCTCATATACCACAGAAAGAGCAGTTAGTAGTCAGATCTTCTAGGACAAGTTCTGGTGCTTCGGGGAATAAACCATGCATAACCATTTACAGGGAAGGGTAGGTCACCAATGGAGTCTCATTACCTGTTTTGGTGCTCTTCTTTGTTTGGTTAGCTTCTGAAGTCCAAGAAGTTTCAAAGCTGCTTGTGTCTCTGCCAATGCTGTCCTTTGTCAGAATTTCCCCTCCCTCACCCCTGCCCTGAGAATCCAGCAGTCTTCTCATTTCCTCCAAGTTTCTCCAAAATGCTTTTCTAAACCTTAACACTGCTTACCCCACCATACTTTACCCAATCCTAAGCCCAAGCCTTTATGACTCTCCCTCTGTCTACATTACCATCCTCTGACCTGTCATTCAGGGATGTCACAGGACTCCACTAAAACCTTAAGCCTTTCTTTCTACTCTCCCTTCCCCCTCCCTCACTTTCCCCTCCCCTTTGCTATTTCTCACTTACTCCCCTTTCTTCCCTCCAGCCTTCATCCCTCCAACTCCTTGATTCCATCCACTCTCTTTCCTTCATCCTGCTCACCTTTGGCATCCCTCCCTTCTTCCCACCCTTTGTCTCCTTTCCACCCTTTGCTTCCCTTTTACCCTTTGCCTCTTTCCCTCCCTTCCTCCTTCTTTCCCTCCCTCCCTCCCTCCTTCTATCCCTCCCTCCCTCTCTCCCTCCTTGCCTCCTTCCCTCCCTGATTCCCTCCCTCCCAACTTACTGGTCCCTTACCCCTTTCCTCAGCTAACCCAATAAATCAGCTTAAACACAAGTAACAGTTGTCATTGTTTATTGATTATTTAAAATATTTCTTGATAAGGATTTTTATTGAAAAAATGAAAATATGTGGTAAAGTAATCTTGATTAGGGAAAAATAAAAAAAAATCAGTCTAACAGCTACACTTTTCAGTATTAGTTTCTAATACCTATTCTCATGCATATTGTTAGTATGAACTGTAATTAAAAAAATAAACCCCACATAATGCAGGGTTCAAAGAGGGAGGCATGCAAAGTTGGTGGGGGAAAGCAGCTCAAAGTCGTCAGGTTCAGTCCATCATCCAAGAGGCAGCGTCGTTGTACAGGTAGCCTTAGTTCATAACCAGAGAGAGGTTCAGTGAAAGATTCAAAGAGCAGCAAATGCTGATGATAGCTGAGGTAACAGAAGACAGATGGCCAGACGTCACTAGGACCCACCATCTAACCAGCAATTATTTCATCACGCCGTCTTCGATTCCATCTGTGTCTGAAGCAATTGTAATGACAATAATGTGATGGAAAGGACACAGTTCGGGTACTCCACTCGATGTTTGGGTCGTGTGTCTCAAGCCAGTGAATTCCAAGAATCAGAGGGTAACGTGGTGCGTGAATAATGTCAAACTGGAGCTCTTCAACGTGATTTCCAATTTTGACTTCAACAGGTGGTGTTTCTTTGGTTACAGGTCCATTAATCAGTGGACGCCCATCGACTGTTTCGAGCATGAGAGGGAAGATGTTATTGCGGATTGGTATCTTCTCTCGAAGAACCACAGAGCGGTCGATGCTGTTTCTGTAGGAGCCTGAATCCACCATTGCTTGCTCAAAGAACTGTCGTCTTCCAAGCCGAATCTCAACAGTTAGCCATAGGGTACGGGACATAGATATTGGAAGGGAGGGGGACGCGTATTTGTAGATTGGCCCGCCCGGGATCCCCCTTACCGCCGGGCCTCCATGTTTCCCGCCTGCTGAGCACGATGAGGCTTGACAGGACAATCTCTGGCAAAATGACCAGGATGGCCACAGTAGAGGCACAAGTGACCTTCACGGCGTCGGGCCCGTTCAGCCTCACTGAGGTGGGGGCGGTTATTTGTTGCTTGAACAGCCTGGTTTTCAGTTGGTGGACTCTCGGACCCATTTTCCTCTTCGGAGGATGACGAATCAGAATCAGCCTTCTCATCTGTCTTCTCTTCTAGGGTAACACACTCAATGATCACATCAGATAAGTTGGTGGCTGGCCTTATGCAAGACAGTTCGTTTTGAATAGAACTGGCAAGCTCTTCTTGAAATTGGATGCGGAATGTGCTTGCATCCAAATTTAGCTCTTGAGCAATGAGATGGAAATGGGTTGCATATCTATGGACAAGGCCATCCCCTTGGCACAGCTGAGGGAGGCCATGGTTAGCTACTTCCATGCTTTCAGAATTGGCAAAAGTATCTTGGAGCTCTCGAAAGAACCTTTCAAATGGTTCCAGTAAGGGGCTTTGGATATTTGTTAAGGACTGGAACAGCCTCCCTGCCTCACCAGAGAAGAAGCTGCCAACAAAGCGTATTAGAGCTGCTTCAGTGGGATACAGGTGCCCTCTGGTTCTCAGGTAACTGTTCAACTGAACTAAAAACTCAGAGAGTTTCTGAGAATCCCCTCTGAAAGCCAAAGGGTCATCTAGGGGCAAAACTATAGCCTCTAATCTGTTGTGGGCCTGTGGAAATGCAGAAGCTCTTCCTGTTCCCACAACTATTAGGCCCTCTAGGGACTCTTCAGGTACTGAGAGTTCTAGGAACTCCTCGGCATCTGAGGGGTCCAGGGGCTCCTGGGGCACCCGAGGCTCCAGAGGCTCCTGGGTAGCTGGATGCCCAAGGGTCTCCAGCTGTGATGAGGTCTCCTTGTATTCTGGAACCTTCTGAGATTCCTCATCATTTGTAGGGTTGTGGAGCTGTGAATTCTGGAGCTCCTTGATGGCTGGGGTACCCTGGGTGTCTGTGGGCCCTGCCTCCCAGACTGCTGGGAGGTCATAACCCCTTGAGAATGCCTGGGGATTCTGGATTGCTGGGAACTCCAGAGCCTTCTGGATCTCCTGGGGTTCCTTGCCAGTTGGAAGCTTCCAGGCTGAGAGCTCCTGGAGCTCTGGGAGACTGTGGGCCTCCTGGGCCTTTGAAGGCTCTTGGAGTCCCCAGGCTGCTGTGGATTCCAGGGACCCTGGGGGCTCCCAGGACTCACTGACCTCTGGAGGCCCCTGGGGTTCCCAATCCTCCTTGAACTTTGGGGATGGATGGGGCTCCTTGATCTCTGTGGATCCCCTGAACTCTGTGATGACTGAGGGTCCCCCAGACTTGTTGGTCTCTGGGGGCTTCTGGAGCCCCTCAACCTCTGGGAGTCCCTTGAGCTCTCTGATGGCTGAGGGTTCCCTGGACTCCTTGATCTCTGGGCCTCCCCTGGACTCTCTAATAGTGGAGGGATCCCTGGGCTCCTTGATCTCTGGGCCTCCCCTGGGCTCTCTAATAGCAGAGGGTTCAGTGGGCTCCTTGATCTCTGGGCCTCCCCTGGGCTCTCTAATAGCAGAGGGTTCAGTGGGCTCCTTGATCTCTGGGGGTACCCCGGACTCTGTGACCTCCGGGGGTTCCCAGAGCTTTTGTGAGGCCCTGGCTGCTGGAGGTTCCAGTAGCTCTGGGGACTCTGGGGACTCTGGGGGCTCTTGGGCCTCTGAGGACTTTCGGAATGGTTCATCCTCTTTGGCAGCTCCAGATTTCTGGAGCTCTGGTATCTGGGCCTGGAGGGCAGCATTTTCTTCCATGAGCCTCTTCACTTGAGCCTGCAGAATTTCATTCTCCAATTTCAAAGCAACATAGGAAGCTGCTAAGTCCTCTACCATCTTTTGAGGAAACAGGCCTTGTTTGGCAGTTTGCTACCAAGAGAGGTTGGGTAGCTGCCTGTGAGGTCTTTGCTGAAAGCGACTCAGGCAGACGTCAGGCTCCGTGTAAGTTTTTCAAGGGGTGGGGATTTGGACCCAGCCAAGGCTGATTACCAAGAGGTCACTGGGAGCCTCCGGAGCTCAGCACAGGGAGGTGTGAGCCACACTGTGAAGAGAGAGGGAGCTGAGGATCAGAAACTGTGGAAAGTACTCATTCAGTATAAATCAACAGAATCTGTCCAACTATGCTGGTTTTTTTTTTTTTCCACAAGCACATGAACTGGGGTGTATATACTTGTTCTGACCCTGTATTTTACTAGCACATGACCCAGACTTTACATGTCAGTTTGCATTCTTTTGAAACTTAACAATTGCCCCATATTTCTTTGTTTTATATAGTTTTTAATTTCTAGTGTCTGCCTAATATCTCAATGTAACATTTGGATGTTAACAGCTGCTTTCAGCGACCAAATCAGATGTTTAGAGTGATATGGGTATTTTAGGTTCTGTGCTGGGGCCAATTCAAAATATACTTTTTAGTGAATATCATAGGCGTTATGGGGAAACTCTCACACCTCAGAAATCATACCACACAAGTAACCGCACACAACCAGACACAGGAGAAAGCACACAAAAGTTATGTAAATAAATAAATACACACACACACACATATACATGTATATATATATATATATATATCCAGCTAGCACATGAGTATTATTTATAAAATGCCTTAAAATAGTTAACAAAATGCTCTTTATAGATGTACATTACCATTCAGAGATGTAGGGCTGGAGCTCTGCCTGTCTGCGTAGCCATCGCTGAGGAGAGGAGTATGTGAATGGCTGTGGAGGCTTGCCTTTTCTGCACACGCTGAACTCAAACAAACACACCCACTCCCAGAACACGTTCCAACTCTCCTCCGTAACGTAGCTATTTTGAGTATGGAAGAGTGTTTTTTTTTTTTTTTTTTTTCTTTTGACAGTACCTCACAGTTCAGAGCTAGAAGGAAAGTAGGATGCTGCACTGATGTAAGGCAGCCTCATGTGTTCAGTCCTTGGTTACTTTAATAAATATTTGGCCAGGAAATTGGTAGTAATACCACTACCCTTGTGAAAAGTTGCAAACATTTCTGAATGACCACAGTGGTTTGGGACTTGATTTTTTTAATGTCTGTCTCATGTAACTTCCCAGTACTCTACCCACACAGGGACGTTTGTGTTTAATTCTCACTTCGAAAGCAGACTACAGCCCCCTCAGTCTTTTTTCCTGCCTACCTACTTAGTCCCAGGGGTCTCTGTTTGCAATATTTTCTTAAAATCTTTACCATGGACAGATCTAGGCAACTCAGACTAAGGATGCCAGAAAGGCAAACTTTTGATGGGCACTTGGCAACAACCCAGTAAAGTTCTTGACTGATTTTGAATATACCTACCCAGGGTTCTTCTGTCCCCTTGAGCTGCTCAGATAGCTCCTGGAAGCACACACTTTTCTTCTCTTTTATACAATGATTTTGCTTCATATTTGACTTTGTCTTCTCATACCACAATACAGTTTTATGCTGGGCATTGGACCATGTGGCTGTTTTAAGCAAGAATCAGGGACAGCTATTTTAACTGTATTATATAAAGCTACTTCAGATCACATAGCAATCCAGCCATGGTTCCAAGTCTCTTTTAAAAATCATCAACTCCACTTATTAGCATAGTGAGACAAATCCTGGTGATGGAATATACCTAAACCACAGCAAGTAGACTACCTAGGCTAGCTGAATCTGAATGCAGAGGTTTTAAGAAGAAAAGCAAAATCATTTTCAGATTGAATTTGTTCTCTATCTACCTTGCAGTTATTTTAAAAGTAAACCACACATAAAAATATCAGCATTATCAGACAATTCATTCTATTTTTGCTAAATTTTGAGAACATTGAAGCATTCTTTCCTACTAAGAAGGAAAATCACAGTTGATATTGCCTTCCCTAAATTAAAAAAAGAAAACCAGGGAGACAGTTTTAGTTATGACATTGTTTTATTTCCTTATCATTAGTAAGTGGGCAATTTGAGGCATAGTTTAATCTATTTCATTTATCTGATGGCCCTACTTAGACAAACCAACTAGTTTCACTGCTATGACATCATGTAGCTCTTCAATAGCTACTGAGAATTTTAAAGTAATCTGTCTCCAAATTAAGGCTCTTTGTGTTCTGCTCTCTAGAATCTTGGAGTTTTTCATCATATTAAATATTCATTTGCTATTAAATAATCCTCCACACCATAACATTTATGCCTGCTTATATTAAACTTACACAGATTGGGTAATTTTTTTAGTCCTTCTAAAATTCAGAGTCCAACCCTCAGTTTATGCAACTGTGAAATGGAGCTAATACCAGTATTTAACTTTGTAGGGGTAGTACGAATAATCCGTCAAATATCCAGGAATAGTGGTGGATGTCCATTATTCAAACAGTCAGGAGACAGATGCAGGAGTGCCAGGAGTTCAAGACCATTCTCAGCTAATAGTGAGTTCCAGGCCAATTTGGACTCCATCATACTACACCCACACATGCTCATACACACACACACACACACACACACACACACACACACACACACCACAAACAATGAATGAATGAAATAATGTGTGTAAAATGCTTACTAAAGTATGACAGGCAATCACACTTAATAAAAGTTAAGAGCAATAATAAGCAATAAGTTCTGTACCAGTAGTGACAATTTTAATTTATTCTTTCTAATCATTCTTGAATTATTGGGTTGGATATGTAAACTTTCCAGAACTGTTAGTTGGAGCAAGGACTCTCATATGAAGAAATCTCCAGCACATGGATTTTACAGCACTAATATTTCACCATTCTGGAACCTTTATCTTTCCTTTATGGTTGGGTCATGGATCATTTACTTTGCCAAATAATTCTCTTGAATTAGAACTGGAGGCACCTAAGCGAGAAGATGAGGTGATTAACATGGGGATTGTGGAGCAGCCAAGATAGATGTTTAAAATGTCCGGGTACTAAAGCAGCAGACAGTGCCTTGCCTAGAGGCATATTTATTCAGTGGGTAAACACGGGGACCTTTCTTTCCTGACTCTCCTTCACTAAAGAGCAAAGACCAAATTTCAACGTCCTTAAGTACAAGTTCCAAACTGCCTAAACATAGAGAATTGTTCTCTTTTGAGTGGTTAAAAAAAAAAGAGCTACACTGACTTTTGTCAAAATGCCTAAAGTGGTTTTAATATCCTGAATTAGTCAAGTAAGAATAGGGAAGTAATCCCATCTAAACTCTCATCATGTTCCCTACATTCTAATCCTTCCACTCACAACATGATGGAGTTTATGGAGTCTTTAGGATAGTTATGAAAACATTTTAAGCAAGTGAAGTTTTGTTAACTAGGCAAATGAATATTTCAGGAAAAAGAAGACAAATCTGTTCATTTAACAGACATACAAAGCCTGCACAGTAAGAAGAAATGTTCATGCTCAGCTATGTTAATAAGTTGCATATGTTGATTGTTAGCTTAGGAAGAAAGAGAAGAGAAAGGTTGAATGTGATGAAGTTCTACTTTGTACATTCCAATGTGAAGCGTGATTTTATTTTGTTGGTAAATGTACAATCTGAAACATTTTAGATCCCTGCCAGGCTCTTTTTCCTTCAAGCTGGCTGGTCTACAGCTTTAAGTAATACAAGCTCCTGCTCTGCTATTAACCCTGTAGAGAACCAACAGGGCAGGTTACCCTACAGGTCTCTGGCACAATGCCCAGTTCCCCCTTGGGGGCAGTCCCACCCTGGTGTCTGTTGTGTTCAACATGTTATTCCTATGGTTACATTAGAGCTTGCAGTGCTTTCTTGGATTTAACCCCTTCATGTGCTTAGGACAGAGTGAAGCCTTTTGATTGCCAGCAACACACCATAATACACCAAGATGGTGGTAATCACTGATTCCTTTGGTTGCTGAAAAGCCAGGAAAGAGTTTCTTCCTTAATGAATGGGATTTTGAGCTCTGGCTCATAGGGTGGAAATCGTTTCCATCTCAGGAACTCTCTGGGGAAGTCAAAATATGTTATACTTAACTCTGTCTTAGTGACGTTTACCATCTTCCCATTTTATTTCTTGCCTCTCACTTAAGAAACCTTTCCTTCTGATCAGATGTCACCTGGGAAAGGGAAGATCCTACTGCACAAGGCTTTAAAGGGAAATTTCTTCAAGATCTTGGAATTTTGTAGGGTATTTTGAAAGAATGCAAACCTTTGAAAAGCTCTCTCTGTTAGAAAAGCTATTATAGGGTAAAGAGAGCATTTAAAAGCTATTATAGGGTAAAAAGTACCACAGAATGGACTCAGCAGTCTGTATTTACATATAAGAAAAAAATAACCAAAGAAAAAGAGATCACAAGTTTCAGAGGGAGTAAAGGAAGAAACATCGGGAAGGAGAAAAGGGAGAAATACTGTAATTTTATTGTAGTTAAAATTTAAAAAATAAGAAAAAGGATGTATATAGTATAGTATCTAGCATTAGTTAACATGTTTGCTTCATTGTTTCAGTTGAGTGGGTTCATTGAACTCTGATGACACAATAACTTGAATGCCTTAGAATGACAAGCTGTGGTATAACAGAGCTACAGGAAGATTTTTCTATAAGCTCACTCTTCGGGAGGCCTACATGAGGGGATCTGACTCCTCTATTTGCTGCCATCTTCTCTCTTGTGTCTTTTAACATTGGTTCATCCAGAAAGTAAACCAAGTCTGTGCAAGGCCAGAAAGAGAAGGGAGCAGGAAGGGAAGGGAGAAAGGGGAGCAAGGAAGTGGTGGGTATAGGCGTGGGCAGAGAGAGTGGGCTGGGAGGAAAGGTGAAGAGAGAAGAAAAGAAGATGAGAAGGAAAGTTTACAATCTTTTTAAACTCAACAAATGTAAGCCTGGCTGTGGTGGCATATGTCTTTAATTCCAGCAGGTGGGAGGAAGAGGCAAGTGGATCTCTGTGAGTTCAAAGCCAGCCTGGTCTACATAGCTAGTTCCATGACAAGTTTCAAAGCAATACAGAGAAACCCTGTCTCGAAAAACTAAAAACAAAACAAAACAAAACGAAAAAGAGTTGTGTTTCAGTGTGGCTGGAGAGAAAAGTGGGCATTTAGGGGTGGAAGATGCAGGAGTGAATGGGTACCAAGGACTGGGAATACCCAGACCTCTTAGTTTTGATGTTGCGTTGTGTCAACCATGTTAAATATTACTTGTGAGGGTGGTTTTGGAAAACATGCTATTGGAAAGAACACAGGCTTTGAGGTAAGGCAGGTCTAATTCCCAGCTCTGCTTCTTTTTTCTAGCTAAGTAATCTTGGCCAAGTTATCTAGATCGTCTGAGATTCATTTTACTCATCTGGAAAGCACGAGAAAATAATAGGTAATTCCTGAGTTGCTATGAAGATTAGAAACAATGCAAGTACCTAAAAAAAAAGACTTGCTGAGCTGTAGTGGACAATAAAAATCATATTTCTAGTTCAAAGGATTGTCATTGATTTTCATGTCAGCTTATCTGGTGTATCTAAACAAAATTCCCCTCAACTATTCATATATAAACTTAATATATGATTACTCTAATTTAATTTGCTTTTCATACAGTAAAGCCATATTCTTTCTTTCTCACTCTCTTTCAATAAAGAGTTATTGAGTACTCATGTACTCAGATAACTGTGCAACTGTGCTCTGCAGCAATTGTATACATGCTTGAGTCTCCTCTCTCTCTCTCTCTCTCTCTCTCTCTCTCTCTCTCTCTCTCTCTGTAGTGTGTGTGTGTGTGTGTGTGTGTGTGTGTGTGTGTGTGTGTTATTTGTTGGTGTGTGTATGCTGGATGTTGGACACAAAGATAATCCTGCTCCCACTT